GAATGGAATGGCCAGAAGAGGCGGAAGTGAGAATTAGGGTTTATTTTGGGTATGAGAGAAGGGGAGTGAAGTGACTTTGTGAGAGAATTTATATGGTGGTGTTAGGTTTAAGAAGAAAGTAGAGTTTCGGGTTGGGGTTTTTTATGCTGGGGTTTTTTGGGCCTGGCTTGGTTTTCCAGCCTTCTTATATGGATTTGTAATCCAACTTTTTTTTTTTTTCAGCCTTTCACTTTTGCTAGATCAAGGTTTTTTTTTTTTTGGTGTTGTCAAAAAAAAAAAAGAAAATACATCCTTTTTTTATTATTATTTTATATTTCTACTATTTTTTAATTGTTTTTTCATAAACTAGGGTGGCTGACGTGTGCCATCGCTTAGCCTTGTTAGGCGAGATTTTTCAGTTGTTGCCTACAGTAATGAGGGTAAATATGTAAACAAATATTTTAAACTAGGGGTATAAATGTCCACGGATTATTTTAAATAGTTAAAGAAATAAAAAGAAATTAACATTAATAAAAGAAAAAAGTTGTACATATTAATGAGGGTAAACATGTAATTACACATTTTGAAGGATATAATTGGTAACACACTATTTATAAGAGTAATCTTATACCTTTTATAAGGTATAGGGATAATTGGTATCACACTATTCATAAGAGTAATCTTATACTTTTTATAAGGTATGAATTCTTATATGTGGTTGGTCACACGGTATGGCCAACCATTATGGGGGTTACTTCGTTAGAGATATAAGGGTTACTTGGTCAGTGTTACTAGAGTTGGTATTATTTTGTAGAAATTTGCAAAATATGACAATTCTCGAGCTTATTGAGCCACGACAAAGACATTGGAGTCGGAATGTATTTTATGATCATATATATAAAGCCCAAGACTAAGTTAAAGAAATTTAGTTCGATGATTAAGGACTCGATATGTGAAGAGGTCCAAGATTTTACAAGTTATTATTACAGACCAACCAAGGAAGGAAATCGGGCCCAAGCTTGAGAAGCCCAATCCCAAGAGAGCAGCCCAAGCAAGCCACGAGTTCTGTTGGGCGTGATTTTTGCCGGGCTCGATCGGGTGAGCATCATTCTGGGCCGTGAGAATGCGCGTGATTGCTTGGCCGATTAGGGGACTTTGATTACTAGATTTATTTTGGCAGCTTTATCACTAGTTTTAGTAAGGCTAGGATTATTGTTTTTAGTTGACTTTTAATAGGATTTCGTTTCCTTATAAAAGGATGAGAAATTCTCAGCCTCAAGGAACTTTAGTCCTTGAGGACTCAAGGAATTTATGGGCCCCACTTATGTACAACACTCAATAACTAAAAAACATTTAATAAAAACAAAAAAAAAAAAAAAAAAAAAGCAATGTTTAAAATAAGGAGGATAGAATTGTGGGGTTCCCTTGTCATAGTTTGTCTAAATTTTGTTGTTTTTTCCGCCAAATTTCATTGATAGCGAGAGTTTTCTTATCCCCCCTCCCCCCTCAATTCACAACATTATCATTTCCAAATTTTTATTCTTTTTACACACAATAAAAATTCTTTTTTGCATACAATAAAAATCCGCAAAAGAATTTAATTTCCAATTAATTTCCTTGTAATTTATTGTTCTGAGTTTTGTAAATTAATTTTGCGAACGAAATTCGATAGTTGGGTCTTTGAATTGTTGTGTGTCGGTATTTTATTGTTCCAGATCTGAAAGGTGAAATTGGTGAATTAGTTCTGTGTTAGCTGAAACTGAATGAAGATGCATTGTGTTGATGGATGGAGCTATGTTAGTGGTACTAGCATCACCTACTACCATCACCTACATGTTTTCTTACAAAAATAATTAAAAACTGGATTGTTTAAAGTTACATAAAAATCATCTCCCTTGCTGTTTATCCAATGCATCCACTAACTTGTGAACATCCTCACGGCGTTCGTTTAGGGCTGTCAAACGGGTCGTGCCATGTCGTGTCCGTGTTCGTGTCGATTTTAAACGGGTTGAAAAACTTTTAACCCAAACCTAACTCGTATATTAAACGGGTTGAAAACCCTTGACCCAAGTCAAACCCACTTATTAAACGGATTATCCGGGAAACCTTTTACCCACATAATATGTAATAAACTAATTAATATTCAATTCAAAAACAAAAAAGACAGACATCATTAATTCATTAAAGATACTACAACAGTTTAAAGCTAGTAGTTTTAACAAAAGATACCAGAAGGGTTTGAAGCAAGTAGTTTTAACAATACAACCATACACAAGAATTGTCTCAAATTAACCGCCAAATTAAATTTTAATTTACAAAAGATGAAAATTATGATTTTCCCCCCAAATTAACCGCCAAAAAATTACCAAAATGTACAAATAGTGTCAAGGTAATTTACAAAATTACAAGTCTTGAATAAAAAAAATTCATTTTTTTACTACTTAATTAATAGATTAAGCGTGTCGGGTTCGGGTTGACGGTCTGTCGTTCAACCCATTTATATAATCGGGTTATGCGTGTCGGTTTCGGGTTGAAAATTTCAACCCAAACCTAACCCGTTTAATTACGTGTCGTGTTTGTGTCGACCCAATTATGTAAACGGGTCGAGAATTCTACACCCAAACCCGCTTATTTCGTGTTGGGTTATCATGTCGTGTCAGCTTTTGACAGCCTTACGTTCGTTGGACGAGCATAGTAGGCCACCCAACAAAATTCGCGCTCTACCAATCTCAACCGTCTCCTGCATAGTAGGTCACCCAAAAAACATTTTAGTACTTCATAAGAAGGAACTTAGTAAAACTAACTACTAAACCAAACCGAGGTGGCTTACCAACGGAACTTGGTTTCAAATCGATCAACAAAGGTCTTAATGCACGCTAGTATCAAAGGGCCACAGCAAATACTGTTAAATTGGCACATCAATGTGTAGACACATACTTTTGGCCTCCTATCCCGACGGGAAGTGCGATGAAGTTACTAAAACTCGTTATTCATGCTAGATCAAAGTTGAAGTGTTTATGGACTCCGAAATGCATTATGAAGTAAGTTAAAACCCGTATTTGAGACAAATTATCTTAGAGCCTAGTCCGATTACTAATTAGGCCTAAACCGTGTTCATACATGTTTAACCTTGATTAATAATGGACATAAATGCGTCAAATGCAATGATTGGATCAAATGGATCTTACATTGTTGAAAACCGAGTCAATTAGAACAATTAACAACCTAATATCTATTTATGGCCTATAAATATGAATATCACTTTCAAAGAGCTTTCCAACGGCATATTATAAGCCCAATTCCGAGTTAAAACGAAGACGTTATCATCAAAATACTAAACTAGGCCCTAAAACCGACATCCTTTCACTAAAACGATCATATCTTTTGATCCACAACCATTTTTAACCTAATTCTAACGGCATTGGAAAGTAGACAATCAGATCTTTCCAATGATATCTTATTTGTCGTAATTCGACTTCGTAATAAAAAGTTATGAAAGTTTTAAAAATGTATTTTCGTATAAGGCAAAACGCACCGCGCGCAACTTTGAGGCACATGCATGTCTTAGAGTTGCGCTTGGCACTCTAGCGCGACTTTGAGAGTTGCGCACGCCTGCTGACGCCGCGGCTCTAAAACCCTAAACCTAGATTCCTGCGCCAATAAATAGGGGTCTTTGTTAGCCCTAATAACAAGAGAAAAATCAGAATTAAAACCTAGAATTCGAAAAACCCTAATCTCTTAAGTTCTCTTACTATCATATTGCTTTTCCTCTCTTTTCCCAACTACTCTCCAACCCTAATTTATTCTACTGAAGCCTTGGAGGTACAAAGAAGAATGAAGGTCCATAAACATCCAAAACAAAAATCTAGCAAACAAAGGAGAATAGTTAGTTTCCTTAGCACTTAGATCAATCGCCTTTTTCTTCATGTTTTAAATAATTTTAATCAATTAATTAGTGTTGTTTGATCACTTTAAAAGGGTTTTTTAATTGATTAATTCACAAGTATTAACTCGTTAAATAAAGATACAATTGAATAATTAATTTGTTGTTTTATCACCTACGTCAAGACGAATATTGTTTATTTCTTGTTCCTTTCACGAATTTGAATTAAAAAGAATAACGACATTTGTTGCAATGTAGACTTTTTGTGATTAATGTATGTATATAAAATCAACTAATTTAGTTTTTAGGAATCGCATTGCATATATTATTTGGTAATGAAATTGTGAAAAAGGAAGAGCTAGTAGAGGCCGCACTAGGGCTAGGATTGCGATTTTCAAAGAGAGTTTTTTTAGTACCCTTGCTCCTGAACTTATTTCTGGTTTAGTAGGCCAATTTGGGCATAGTAAACTTATGATCCATGCTAATTATTCCTTGAACACTACTTGGGAGAAAGGTATGAACGAGGTTTATGAGTTTTCCTAAAACTCATTGGCGACTCTATTGGTTTCTTATAAAAAAAATAATGTCAGACTCAATTCTAATTCAAGGTCTCCCAAACAGTCAGGAATTCAAATCCTAACACACCCTAAAAAGTGTAAAATTCTAGGCTTTTAAAGGACCATGGGCATAGAGGAAATGAGATCCCCAACGATGGGCTACCTTCCTCACACAATGAATCAGTTAGGGCATCCATCCGCACGAAAAATGTAAGGTTACATGCTAAACAATCTTTACTTGTCTGTCGGAGCTAGGATTGCCACGACTTCTGTTGGCCAAGTCATGATACCACCCTCTTTCCAAGTGTCGTCATGGTGCTGAAAAATCTTGTCCATTCCGGCCCTCTGATTTAATGAAAAAATCTTGTCAGTCTTTATTATATAATAATAAAAAAAAAAATAAAAACATCCAACCCTAAAGTGTAAAGTAGAGTATCATACTAACTCATCTAGGGCATCATCATGGGTCTGCATCGGTTCTGGGTTAATGGAATCTATGAGCCATATCTTCGAATCCTTCAAATGGAACGTAGCACACCACCAGAGATCATTCAATAAAACTAGGACAAATACCTTGCAAATGAAATGAAAATGTGATCTTAATTATATGAAAATGTGACCAAAAGTATAATATTACCACCCTAAAGCAAGTAGAACTCTTAACAGCTATATTCCTTAACGAGACATCACGCAAAGGATGCCAATATTTCACAACAATTTCTTCGGGGGATCGAGACTATTCTAGTAAGCTTATCTGCAAAATATATATCCCACAAAAGAACACTGATAAGATCAATAAAGGAACTAAAGTCACAACCCCTCACAAAATCAAGTTGACATTAACAAAATGGAATGCCACGGATTCAACATCACCCTCTTACTACCTCCCTTGAACTGCACAGACCACTCCTAGGTGTACATCTTAGAAGCAGTCTTGACGTACTGCGTCCCGACATGCTTCCGGCAACACACAATGACATTACAAAATTCCATATAAACATCCTGCCCTTCGCATTTATTCAAAGTCGGACCCCTGCACATACATGTCAATTATAATATTCAAAATCAATTAACTTGAAAATGTAGATCCTGAATCAGAAAATGGAGTGATTCTTCCAACAAAACCCACTTTACCTATTCATTTTGGGAGTCCAAGAACGAACATAAGTAATGATTCTCCTATCCTCCTTGGTAAGCACTTGACCCTTTTTCGCTTATTGCAATCCCTTGGCAGAAGTTTTGCGGGGTCGTATCCCAACACTATGATCCCTTTTACTCTGACCTCCTTCACTATTCTTTTGGACATCCTCATCCTGGACACCACCCCCATTACTAGTACTAAAGTCATCCTCTAAACCACCATTATCACCCGTACAAAAGACACCAAAAACCGCACTGAAATCAACATCACCTACTTCTTGGTTCTATGCACACATCACCAACACACAAAATATTCCTTCAAATGTTACACTTGGAAGCCAACAATTCAACATGACCAGAACAGAATATACGTTCAAATCAAACCAAAAAAATGTAATGAAAAACTCATTTCATAGAAACCAAAGTAATCATCAAGTTTTCAAGCAATATTACCATAAAAACAAAAAACACTCAAACTTTGTGTCTTTATAACAAAACTTATAAATTAAGTGTTAGCAATACTCAAAACATACTCGGTAATTTTGGCTAAAACAAAACCATATAAAACCTCAGTTCTAGATTTGATTTCGTTTCATTCACAATTCATTCACTCATCTTAATGACTCACCAAGTTTGTAAAACTAATGTCGACATGCGAGTCATGAAATATGTCATTTTGCGGTTCTTATACATGTGGCACTTCGACTCTTACCATGTGTGCCTCACCAGTAGCCTCAAAGTTACCCTCAGCAGCAGCCACCTAACTAGCAGCCTCAGAGTGTGCCTACTTCTCAGCCTGATTTTCAGGGCTCTCGGTGCGCTCATTATTATGCTTCGCAAAAGGAATAACATGGGCTGCAGCACTGGTCTGCTGAGACTATCTCACCCCTGCAACACCAGCACCAACTGCACAAACATGGGCTTCTCCATTTTCATTACATCATCTTCGACCTAAGAGGTAACATTTTGAATTAAATCTCTAACACTTATTTGCTTATCACCCATAACTATCTTATCATCAAGTTTTCCAAGTCTTTCGTCAAGAGAACTCGCCTTATCTACGTTATTTTGTTTGCCACCAGAATCCTTCCCAAAGAAGACAACAACACCGATTTAGCGAGTTTCTTCTCTATAGGATCTTGAATAACAACCCTATACCCGGAGCTATACAATTGCTCCAGCCGATGCAGCCATGGGGTGAGCTTCTCCTTAAACCATTCGGGAGTCATACGCCTCAACACCTACATACAACAAACCACAAAACAAACAAAATTCAGAATGCTTATAACCAAAAGAAACTAAAGGAAACCAAGTATTGTAACCAGATTTACAATAATAAATTTCTTAGTGAAATTCAATACAAAAATCAGCTTCTGCTATTCTATCTTTAAACCAATCAATGAAGAAGCAGATATGTGTATCACAATCATAGTAAATACATAAGCAACTACTCCTAAACCTCAACAAATACAACCCAATACCAAAGTCTAAGTAACAAGTACTTTAATTAAAAATTCATAGTCTTATGCATACCTCATTAGCAATAGAAATTTCATATGGCTTAACACTGTCCTGTGGAACCCAGGGATGCCTCACTACAAGAAAACACGGTATTTTCAATGGGTAGTTTCCGATGGCCACATAAAACCCTCGAAAAATACATAATTTTCGATGGTTTTAGTGGATATAGGTAATTCCCAACGACAATTTATAAATTCCAATGGATAAAGCCGAAAATTTCCCATGGCCTTTAAAACCATCGGAAAAATAATTTTCGATGGCTTTTCCGATGAAAAAAGCCCTCGGAAATTTCCTACGACTTTTAAAACCGTCAGGAAAAATATAGATTTCGATGGATTTTAAAGCCATCGAAAATTTCCTATGGCCTTTAAAGCCATCGAAAATTTCTGATGCCTAAAAACCATCGGATAATATATATTTTCTAACGGTTTTGATAGCTATAGGAAATTTTAGAGGGCTTGTTAACAAAAAATCGTCGGAAAGTTTTTTTTTATAAAAAGAAACCCCTAACCCTAAACAAGTCCCCAGTCACCCATTTCCCCTTTTCCATTTCCTTTTCTTCTCATTTCCTCTCTCTCTCTCTTTTTTCTTTCCTCTGTTCTCTCGTTCTTCCTCTATTTTCTTGAACTTCTTCTCTTTCTTCTGTTCTCACGTTCATCTCTTTCTCTCTTCTCATTTTCCCCTCTTTCTTCTCTCTTCTTCTTATCATCCCCTCTCATTCTTCTCTCACTTCTTCTCATCATATGTTCTAGGTTTTTAACATTTAAAACAAACTCAGGTTCTTGAGGCCAAATTTGACCGTATAAACTCTAGATCTAGAGTTTTCATGGTTGAATTTGGCCTTATAAAACCAAATTCGAAATTTTGAGTGGTATATTTTGAGGTATGTTTTCGTTTTTTAAGTTTTCTTAATTATAATATTATTTTTGAGTTTCCTTTTTTTTTTTTTTTTTGATTTTTTGGGTTGTGGTTGATTAATTATGGTGGTTGGTGTTAGCAATGTAGATTTCGGGTGGTGGGGTTTGGGATTCATGTTTTAAGGATATGGTGGGTGTCTGGGTCTGGCTCGTTGGTTAGGGTTACAATTAAGGTGGGTGGGTCTGGGATCGTGGGTTAGGATGGGGTGGGGGGAGGAGTGGTGGTGGGCTGGGTTGTAAGGGAGGGAAGGGGATGGGGTAGTGTGAGCGGTGGCGTCGAGGGTGGTTTTGGGTTTTTTTTTTTATTTGTGCCAATGGAAAAGCCGTCGAAATTTCTGACGGTTTGGTTGACCATCGTAACTTTTCGACGGTTTTTCCATCAGAAATCTATGATGGTTTCAGCCATCGGAAGTCTCCGATGGCTTTTAAAAACAATCGGAAAAATTGATTTCCAATGGAAACTGATGAGGGGGTTTCGGGTTTCCGATGGCACATTTCCGATGGAAAATCGTCGGAAACCAATCTTCCGACGATTTTTAGGTGATTTTCAATGGATTTAAACCATAGGAAATATGCTTTTTTCTAGTAGTGCGTCTCTGTAGGCTCAAGAATCCAATCATGATATCATCTTGCTCCTTCCTCGTAGCAACATACATTTTAACAATTAATTGAGCAGCCTTTTTTGAGGATATCCCAAACCTCCTGTGTTATCTTTTGCACCATACAACTTCCGAATTACGTCAACCATCTTCTCCTTCAAAGCCAAACCACCATTAGAAACCCTCCAAGGAAAATGCACCTCCATTGTGTAGGTCACAATGGTAACAACCTACCATCACCCGCTTCAAAAAGACTCCTTTCACCATCAACCCTACTCATCAGCCAATAAGAAAACTGCCGACTTAACTTCATATTCTTCGGCTTAAAAAGGTCACCAAACCCACTTCTTTCGACAATCAACTGCCTATCCTCATCCAACATATCACTAACAACACTAACTTTACATGTGAAATTTGCAGACTGAAAAATAAAAAACAAGGAAAAAATATTAAACAAATCAGGTCTCACAACACTAAATTATGCACACCCAAACTACATCCCAAGACTTAACACTGAATTGTACCTTCCCAGATTAGTATGTTTGTTACGTTACAACAACAAGGTTCTTCTGCTTCACCTTCTGACAGAAAAACGGGTTCCTCAACCTGCAGTTAACAAAGTCAAATGACAGATTATAAATAAATTTCAAAACCAAAATTAATTAAATAACACAAACTCTTACCTTACAATGAACAACCAAACACACATTCACCAAATCCACACTCATTTCATGAAACCTCAATCAATCACAAAACTTATTCAATATATCATAAACATATTCACAAGACCAAACGAATTCAGCATATATTAACAGACCTATTGAATCCAGCAATCATGCGAACTATATGATGGGAACAATGTATCACAGACTGGACAAATTAAATTAATTGAATCCTGAGCATAATGCAATCTAATTGGACAAGCAAGACAGTGAATCATATTCGTACATGCTAAAATTCACACATACTAAAATTCACACAAGCAACCATTACACTGGAACATGCAATCACTCCACATCTTTACTTATAATAGAATATTCCAACATACCTCGATTACCATCTTTTGCTCTTCAACATCGGCTCTCTTCCTACTCTTCGGTCGCGACGGCGGCGATGGCGGAGCCTTCCTATTTGCAGCAACTTTTCTTCTACTCACTGGGCGCATGACATGGCCCCTTTGCTTTCTTCAACATACCCAGATTTTTCCTTGGGGCTGCTTCATTCTTCGCCGAACCACTACATTTTCCTCCTCTTCATATGACTGATCTTCGAATTCACTTCCCTGATCTGGTTCTTTAACATAATCTTCATCTTGAGAAAAATCATCCTCATTCTCAGACCTCAGTTACTCATAATCAAATTCCATATCTTGCCTGGGATCCAGCTCAGGGTGCTCAATAACTGCTTCCTTCTGCTTCCTTTAGTAAGGGTTGTCCTTGCTGTAACCAGCTGGATAATCCCTCATGATCTGACTAACAGTGGCCTTGAGATACACAAACCAAACCAATTTAACCCCCAAACACCAACAACTTAAGGGGAAAAAAAAGGAAAACCAAAATTAAATTTAATACAGTTACTCACCTCATACTACTTCTTAGCCTATAGAAGAGTCGTCCTTCGTAAACACTATGGCTAAGGTTGTTTGACACACACGCACACAAGCCATTTAGATGTTTAGGACGACAACAAAACAAAGACAATTCACAAAAAACAAAAAACAAATAATAAAATTGCAATACCAATCCAGTCATCAAAGCCATATAATTGATTCATACAAATACCACACTTGACAAACAAAACATCAATGTTAAACTTTTATCTCAAACAAATTAAAGTGTGACCTAATATCAATATTTATTAAACAATGTCAATCCCAAAAAAACTAATCAACAACAATGCCAATTCAATCTCAATAGTTCATTCAAACTAAAGCTTAAGTTTCATTAACAGAAAACATCATACCTACTACTCAAATATTAATTCAAGCAACCCCATTTTTTTCACACCCTCTCTATTTAATTGACAATTCAATTATACAAAACTAGATCATCTCACTTTAAGCAATATATAAATAAAAACTTTCATGTCATACTAAAAACCAACTCATAACATTTCAAAATAATGAATATAACACTTCAATAGCTTGGGGAAATGACTAAATACAATAACAATAACTACTATAACACCAAAAAAGGGTCTAAATTCAATTACAATGTCTTTCCAGTTAGTAAATCCGTATAATTGATTCCCATACTTGCCAAACAAAACTTCAATGTTAAACTTCTATCTCAAACAAAGTGTGAGCTCAAATCAAAATTAATTAAACCAAAGATTACCTAATCTTAAAATACAAACATACCCCATCTAAGTATAAACAGTATATAATAACATACTTTTCCGTCAGCAATTCATTTGTAATTTACTTTCAAAAACCAACTAATTACAAACACTACCACATATAACACCGTAAACTTAATCTTTCACAGGATTAATTCCGTTTAACATCACTCACACAACACATAAAACTCAATCAGTAAAAATTCATCCAAATAATACAAAGCTCCATTATTCATACAAACCTGAATTTTAAAATCATAATAATAAAAAGCTCCTTTATCTCAATTCCATTCACAAATCGACTCATCACTTCTGCAAATAGCAACAAAAATATTTCACTCAAATTTCCAGTTACAATACAATACTATTTTTTTTAATTAACAACAGAAAAATGAAGCCCTAATTAAAAAGATTATCTCTAAAGACAATACTACAGGATTAATGCAACAAGATAATTTAAAATTTATAAACCCTAACTTATTTAGACTATTGTAATAATTCAGCAATCGCAAAACCCTAACTTATTCTATTTCAAAATGAATAAAACATTCCAAATCCCTAACTTCTATCACGAATGATAATTTTATATGTACCATTTTATAATATAATGCCATCAGTCCGAAATAACCTATTTTAATTCCAAATTCACCCGATTTCCAGATACCAATCAATTTGTAACATCACAAACTCTATATTAAACTATATCCTTTCAATTAATAACATTTTCCATTCATTTACGCATATTCACACCAGTTATACTATAAATTAGTCAAATTTTCCTTAATAATTACTCAAATCTCATAAACCCTAACTTCAAAATTCGCCATCAACAAACAGAATAATAACTTACTTGTTGGGGGAAGAAAAGTGAGAACGCTGTTCGAAATCACCGGAGGACTCAAATCGCAATCTTCAATTTGCAAGCATCCAATCGCCAACTTTAACTTCGCAATTTTCGCCTTTTGTTTTCGTGATCCTGTTTGAATTCAAACCCTTCGTTTTCTCTCTCCTCTCGCCACCCTTTTTTTTTTTTTCTTTCTTTCTTTCTTTCTTTTTTCAACTTTCCAATTGCCTTTTGATTTACCCTTATTTTTAATTAAATTATTTACTCCAGCAAACAATAATCAGGAGGGGGTCCACCACTTTCCTCTTTCTCTTCAATTAAATAGACGATTACATTTAAGCCCTTCCCTTGAGTCCTCAAAAACTAAAGTTCCTTGAGGCTGAGAAATACTCATAAAAGGATGCAGGTTATAGTAGTACGTAGGAGTTAAAGTAGAGGTGATCATTAGGCAGGCCGGGGCGGGCCAAAGCTAAAAAATTATGACCACTTCTCGGGCCGGGCTGGGTCAAGGTTCGGGCCAGAATTTTGGTGCCCAAACCGGCCCAAAATGGTTTGGCCGTGCGGGCTTTTCGGAATGGGCCTAAAAAATCAACTAAAAATATGCATAAAAACGCATTTCCAAACCCGCAAAAAAAATATTTCGGGCCGAGCCAGACCCAACCCGATTTTCGGCCAAAAAATTCGCCCAAAATCAGGCCGGGTCGGGCCAGGCTAACTTTGATCACCTCTAAGTTAAAGGTAGGTAGAATTATTAGATTAGGGGATTTAGTTTTAGTTAATTTTGTTTTCTTTATCTTTAGTTTTATTTTTATGCTTTTTTAGTGTTAGAATTTTGATGTTTTTGACTTTTACATTATTATACTAGTTTTCAATATTATTGTTTTCTTTATGTTTCCTTTAATTACTTTGATTAGTTTAGTTTTAATTATGTTTGAGTAGTTTTCCATCTAGGGTCTTGGGGATCCATGAATAATATGAAAGGATGATTTATTATTGTTGATTGTTAATGCTTTGAATTAATTTCACATTGATTGTTATAATGTTATGCAATTAGATTTGTGCAGGTTTAATGTAGGAGTTATACAATATTAATTCGAGAATCGACATATGAGAATTAAGATTAAGGCCTAGTTTCATTAGGTAGAATTAAATTACAAATGGTTAAGTCAAGATTCGAGATATGTGATTTAATATCGCTAGGTTAATTATGTGATAATAATGCGTAGCGAAAGCCCTTTATAGTTTGGTTAATTTATATATTGAAAATTAATTGTTGTCTTTCATCCCGGAATATTATTTATTGGTGAACTTATGCCCTACGCTTTTATTTCTTTGATATTCTCTTAGTTTAATTATTTCTCTTAGTTTAACTTATAAAAATCATACTTGTTACTTGCTAATTTAGATTATAATAATTTATTAGGAGTAAAAGAACATTGTTTCACCTGTGGATTCGACGACCCTACTTCACTATCTGCTTAGTTAGAGGACTTAGGTAATTTTTTTGATTAGGATATACGACTTTAGCCTGTCAGTTACAAAGGTTACTTGGTGTTGAGGTAAATATTACTCTTTACCAACAGTTTAAATACTCTATCTTGTTCTAGAGTATTAGGGGGCTGCCCCTCGAGTTACCGATTTCAAAGATTGATAACTTGCTAACGTAAAACAAAACAATAAGGAAGCTTTTTCAAAAGAAGTAAAACAAGTTAGATTGCTCAAATAAATGAGTAGATAAATGTAAGACAAAGATACAAATGCATTCCATTATTAAACAGTTTTTTCACCAAATACCCCTGAGTACTTTGATAATTCACCATATACCCATGAAACTTTTCAAATACACCATATACCTCCGAGTTTAACAATAATGTCACCAAATTCCCAAATGAATAACGGACGTCAACTCCGTTAGTCATTAAGGCTTAACTATGCCACGTGGCAATTTCTAATTGGTTTTCTTTTAATATTCTCTTTTAATTATTAAATTAATTATTAAAAAAATTAAAATTTTTTTTTTTAGAAAAACCAGCCACCATCCCCACCTACTAGCTACCACTCCCGCCCAACCTCAACCTTCGCCGGCGTCGAGATCCACCTCTCCGCGCCGGCGGCTTCTGCCGCTCCTCCCCCTACCATCGACGATCCTCCCCTTTCGCCGAAACCACCACATAACCACTCAAAACCCATTCCCCTAAAAACCTGAAATCCCTAAAAAACCCAACCACTACCCATGGAAAACCCCGATCGACCCACCCCCACCCTCGAAAACCCTAGCGGTGGTGGTGGGGGAGAGCCAATCGGGAATTTTTAGGGGTGGTGGTGGGTTTTTTAGGGCCTTCGGTTTTTTCGGGTTGTTTTGAGGGTTAGAGAAAGGGAGGGCGTGGATCTAGGATTTCGGGGAGGGGAAACAGTAGGGGTGGGAAGATAGGAACGACAGCGGTGCCGGAACCGGGGGAGGGGGCTTAGGTAGTCGGGGATGCTCCAGTGCCGAAATCGGGGGAGGCGGTGAAAGGAATGGTGTCCTTCCAACAAGTGTATTATTCCGATAGAGGGTTCAGAATTATTAGAAAGCTAATTCTTCAGTAAGGTCAAGTGATCGGAATGCCTAGGTAGAGGCCGCTTCCGATCAGTAATATTAATGTATAATTAATATTACAGCTTAATCTTGACTGAACCCTTCGGATCACACCCCAATCAAGTAACCGATCCGAGCCGACGAATTAATCCCAAGGATTAAATGAGTCATTAGAGTATTACGAACAAAGACGTCGGATATCGAGCTTAGAGCGTCAAGACCAAGCGTCGCAAGTCGAGTCGAATTTAGAATTCGACGAGACGTAGAATCAACAAGCGACAAGTTTGAGCTAAGCCGTAGCCTTGCATTGGCCTAACCATGCGAGTACTAGGCTAGCCTAGGCCACGCACCATGCCGAGCTTCCTAGCTGCGCATGCATGCTAGCATCGCATGCTAGCAAGCTGGTGTAGCATGGCCAGCATCGCTGACACGCTAGGCGTGTTAGCATGCTAGTGCCTCGCACATAGCAGTACTGTCGCAAGCATGCAACACATAGCACTCGCACAACAGCTCGCTATGCGTGCTTATGCTATGGGATGTGCACGCGTGCTTGCTAACGAGCAATACCGAGCAGCAACATGCAAGCTGGCTGGGCTGTGTGTGCTAGCGTAGCAGCACCAAGCACCACGCCACTCGCACAGCAGCAGCACCCACAGCAAATATGCAGCAGCAGCTAGCAGCCCGCAAGGCTTGCGTAGCGTGTTGGCTGCACAAGTGCGTGGGCAGGTTGGCCAGCAGCCCAACCTTGGTGCTAGACTTGGCAGCCAAGGCAGGCTTCTAGCCAGCCAAGTGGTGTGGTTAAGCACGGGGTCTTGGTGGGGACCGATTCTTGGTGGCTTTGCTTGGTAAGCAAGGAGTATTGGTCCCCCCTTTGGTGGTCCTCACCAATCTACTCCCTCCATGTGACACTTGGAGCTTATTGACTACTTGCATATTTTAATTTGTTTTTGATTAAAATAAATTGGTGGAAAAATGCAATTCTCCCACATTGATGGGAGAAGGGAGATCAAGTCTCCTTTCCCTATAAATACCCAAGTTTTGGGTTTGGGAAAAATCACTTGAGTTAAACTCAATAAGGCATCTCCCTATAGGTGAGAAAACCTTTAAGATCGTAATACTCTAGTCTTTTCTTGGTCTAGCCCCGACTAACCTTCGGGGTAGAGGCCGTTCGGGTTGGGTCTCGAGGGTGGACTCCGTCGGAGGCTCTCGCGCTTGCGGAGCTAAGGCTTTGAAGTCCGAGCTCTATAGGAGCGAAGCACGCATCGAGGGTAAGAATGTCATTTCCCTTTCTCTTTCTTTTGTTGTTTAATTATGTGATTGCATGCTTAGTTGCTGTAATTAGTGGGCGGGTCTTGGGCAAGTTTCTCTTCCGCGTAGTGTTGGACGCTACGAAACCCAACAGCGGTATCGGAGCCGCGCTCATTTTAATTATTGTAACTAATAATTAATTGAGGTGATTTAAAATGGATTTAAATCCTAATTTTGCTTTCTAACTAGATTAAAAGCTCGTTTTAATTAGTTTTAATCTCGTATTTTACTAATTTTGGCTGACGAACCCAGATTTCGACTCAAAAATAGTGATTTATGGGTGGAATCGATGTTTTAAATCGTTTTTGACTATCTTTGAGGACCGTCCAGAAGCCAAAATCCACCCAGAAACATGTTTTTCGAGGAGTTTTTCATTTTTAACGACAAATTTTAAATCTTTAAACCTTGATTAATTATGGCATGTTAAAGGTCTATTAAATGTATGGTTGCATCACTAATCTAATGCAATTATAAACCTTATTAAGCATGTTTATGAAGTCATAATTGGTGCTTGATTTGGTAAGCTCATTTTTCACATAAACTTGAAATTTCACAATTTTGCAAATTAATTGATTCAAGTGTAAATGTTTATGGTGAATGTGTAATTTTGAAGTCCCTAATATGTTAAAGATCCAATCTTTAATTGTTTATTTGGTTGGAACTTTGATTTCTAAATTCCATGTTGAACCAATTTTTGGATTTAATCATTTTGGAGTTGATTAAAGTCCTAAAAGTTCAAAATTTGTGTTTGAAATTTAATTAATCTTCATATTGGAAGATGTAATTTTTCAATTATTCACAAGTTAGTGTTGGAAATTTTTCATTAGATGAATGGGTTTATTTTTCCAACCTCTTTAATTTTGTCAAATCTCATTATTAATTTATGTATGGTTAAATTAATTGTGAGTATAGCCCTTCAATTTTGTAGCATCATGATAAACCGAAATTTATTTAAAGAATGGTTCTTGAATAATTTTGGTTTGTGCACTAAAATTGAATTTATTTAAGTTAGACTTGTTATATTTTCATTCTTTCTAAATGTTGGTTCTAAAATAAAATTTAGAATCGATTTCATGTCACATACATATCGAGATTAAAATCACGAGATAAAAGCACACAAATCGAGGCAATAACCACCAAAGCATACCACATGGCTAGCCGGGCTGCTCTCGCAACCCACATGTGGTTGCCGTGGCATGCATGGGCTGCTTATGCCTCGAAGTGATGTTAATGAGTGGCGGTTTTAGGCATAGTGCACGCATGTTAGTACACGTATAGTGCGGTGTGTGCATGTTCGGTGCATCGAGGATGCAAGGGTGATGCGCACAAGGTGCTACGATAAGGGTGCCTTGGTGCTGCGATGTGTTGCTAGGCAACATAAGCTCGCATAATTTAGGACCTTTGAGGCCATGTCTTGTGTGTGTGCAAGTGTGCTGATGTGGCCGGTGTAACGTGTATACGACATTGAGATCACTCCCA